GCTTGGAATGATGGGGTGTGTAGTCCGACTCATCTGGAAAGCTGGGGAAGGCTACGGCAGACCTGGTGGGCAACGACATCCCGCCTAGAGGGAGCATCACAGCCCCAACGGGTCAAGACGGGGGGCACAGGCGTGACACACGCATTGGCACACACTCCCACACGGCCCAGTCCAGAACAAGAACACACAAGCCTTTGTTTGCTCCCACGCAGCTGTGCTTCGGCGGCCCCTGCAGCGGCGCTGCACGCTGCCCCTTCGCGCAGGATACCATGGCATTTCTGTAGCGTGACAGAAGTTCTAAATTTAAAAAATGAGTACTCCAGCCTCCATGCTGGCGACCTAGGAATACAAGTCCCATCTTTGCAGCTAGTCCAGAACTGCAGCCTAGAAGCCTCTTAGAGGATCTGGGTTTTTTTAAAAAGGCAAGCTAGTATCTGTGGTGGTCTTTACGCGGGGGAATTCAGCCTTGCATGGCAAAAATTCCCCCCTCACCTGTAACAAAGGTTTGCCGACATGGACTGATGCACGGCGCACTCCGTCAGACACACCGACGCCATTTACAGTTTCCCTGGCCTGCACTCTCTGTTCCCGACCCCGCTGTGCTGAGGAGCCGAGCCTGAAGGGAACGCCTGCCTGCTCACATGCAAGAGAACCCAAGCAGAGGCCTTCAACACCTGCCAGTCGGCAAGGGCAGGGGCAGGGGCAGGAGGGCCGGGGCCACGATCTGCCACCCCCGTGCCTTGCACCTGAGTTCAGTCTCCCTGCTCAGATGCAGCATATGAACAGGAGGGCCTACGCTATCCTATTTTAACCTTGTGCAAAAGTTCTCCTCAGAAAATGACTTCTCTCAAAGGATGCAAATTGTTAAGTTGTCTGTTTATACCTGAAACAAAAAGGCTTTGGGGGGTTTTTTGGGGGGGGGGATTTAGGAGCTTATGCTGTGGAGACACTCACGCTGAATGACCTTAACAAATCTGTCCTGCTTTAAACACAAGAGCAGTTATGCAAATATCTTCTTCCTCTGTCCAGATTAGTTTGCTTAAAAGGAAAAAAGCCTATTGCAGAGAACAGCTCCGCATCTGCTGGTAAGTGAAATGTTAAAGAAAGAAGAATCGCCAGGACGCTACATGGATGCTGAGTTCAGAAACTAGTCTTCGAGCTGCCTGAATTGAAACCAGAATTAAAAAGCATTCCACCCAGGTTAATAATCTTTCTATTTAAATACCTGCAGATTTGTATCTTAAATATATTGAAGCTGAAAGGGCTGCCTTACCGCAAGACCAACCAGAAAACTGACTAATGCAGGGATGTTTTGCATTAGATCGTAGTCACTGTAATGTTTTTACATATATTTAGGATGTTTCCAAGGCTTGCACAATCTGTCTCAAGCACAGAGTTTTAGCAAGAAGAGGTTTTCCATCTGCAACCCTCTTGTGCCGTCCCACTGCTTCTTCCTTCTCTCTTACTACAGAAATTGTTGTTGGTGCTATGTGCTATCAAGCCATCTCCAACCTATGGCAGGCCTACAATGAATGCTGTCCAAAATTTCCTGCCCTTGACAGGTTTGCTCAGCTCAAGCCTGTGGCTTCCTCGATGGAATCAACCCATCTCACACCTGGTCTCCTTGTTCTTTTCCTGCCTTCAACCTTCCCTAGAAGGATTATCTTCTCCACTATTTACTTCTCTTGGTACACTGAAATACAAAAAAATACTAGTAGCTAAACAATGATATAGTTCAAACCACACAGTAATATACACCCAAGGGTTAAGTATGGGTTGTCATTAGACTATGGGTTGTTGAAAGATGGAGTATGCTGTTATAACAAACCACAGTGAGCAGTCCACGTGTTATTCCTGGTTAACAAGACCTGGCTTGTTAGTGCAGCTGGGTTTAGATAGCAGAACAAGCTATCTTTCAGCAACAACCCTCACTTAACCCATACTCAACCCTTGAATGTGGATTCCCACATTGACTGAAACAGGCTGTGTCTTTTGCTGAGCAAGGTGCTTTCTATCCAGAGGCACCCTTGTGCGGGAACGCCATTGCCATGGCCTGTGCTTGTTACATTTTGGTGAAGCTCACTGCATGAAATTAAGCACGCACGCATGCACGCACACACGCATGCCCGTAACTGTGCCTGCCAACTTGAGCTCTAGCGGATCTTGCTCCACCAACGCCATTCCCTAATAAACTGGCTTGCCTTCAAGGGACCACAGGGTTCTCCTTCTGAGCAAAGACAGCCAGATTTGGACCACCGGAAAATGCACAATGTTCTGCACCAATTCCAACAAAAGGCACGGCAGTGAAGGTTCAGCAGAAGTGCTGTCTTCCCCGGCCATGTCCAATGGCAGTTGAGGCTGCGATCCCGGGAATTCATTAGCTTGTCCCACCTGTCAGATATCATAGGACTGACCTGGCAGCTAACTTCATTTAGGCAGGGCTGCATTTTATCTAAAAGCAAAACTTGCAGAACCAAAAGCGCATGTGCACACAGCCAAATGCAAAAGACAGCGAAAAATTCGACTTTTTTTTGTTGCGATGCAGATCTAGATGTGTGATTCTTCTGGTAATATTTCTGTACCCATGTCTTCAGAGGCTCAGCAGGAAACATGCTTTTCCAGAAAAAACATTTGGACAAGAGATGTGGGGTAGCCTGCAGCCAGATTATGCCCTCCAGATAGGGAGGACTCCGATTCCCATCATCCCCAACCAGTGCCACTGGGGGCCGGTGTGTTTTTTCATATTATTATATCTGTTTGATTCCAGCTTTTTCTCCTTGCACAGAACCCAACGGAGTTTACATGACCCTTCCTCCCCATTTTATGCTCACAACAACCCTGCAAGGCAGATTAGGATTAGAGTCAGCAACTAGCCCAAAATCATGAGGATTACAGAACCCAGGTCTGCCCAGTCCCAGTCCAGCACTGTAACCACTATGCTACACTGCCCCTGCAGCATCCCTGCACCATGTTGGAAGCAGAGCACAGCAAGCATTCTCCTACACTGCTATTTGCAAACTATTCTACAACTATCAGCAAGCAGCAAAACACTTCGTGTTGTGCCCACCAGCACATCGGATCTAAGAACACTACAGCTGGATGTGCCCACATCTGCCCTTCCCCACACAGGAGGGAAACGGGCAGGCCCCAGTTCACCACTTTTTGTCACTCCGACTAGAAGTATTCTTTGCTTGCTACACAAGATGCACATGAGAAGCGAGTTCTCAGTCTCCCCACACTCAGTTTGCACTCGCAAACCAGCAGCTGAACGAGTGCACGGAGCGATTGCACCAGAAGGCGATCATGTAATCATGCACGGCAGAACGAGGGTTTGAACTGCCGTGGTAGAAAAAGGTGACTCCAAATGATCAAAGTGCAACGACTGAAGGTTAGAAGAAAGATGAGCAGAGAGACATGACAGAGGTGTACGTAAGTGTGCCCGGTGTGAAAAAAATGTGAATAGGAAGATGTCTTTCTTCCTCTCTCATCGTTCACTACCTCAAGGTGTAGCCACCTCCACCAATTTTGGATGGCCTTAAAATGAGAGTGGGCAAATTCATGAAAGAGAGAAATGTCCGTGGCGCTTCATATTACCTCCAAGGGCTATATATTATTATGTATAATAGCCTTCCCAACCTGCCGTTCCTTCAGATGCTTTGGATTTCAGTTCCCATTGGCCCCAGCCAGCATGGTCAATGGTCAGGCATGCTGGGAACTGCAATCCAAACCATCTGGAGGGCACAGAATGTTATCTTCATGACTGTATGAGGTGGGCTAGGCAGAGACACACAAAGAGAGAGAGAGAGAGAGAGAGAGAGAGAGAGAGAGAGAGAGAGAGAGAGGTCTTGTCCAAGGCCATCTGATGGAAATCCAGAGGTTTGTACAGATTGCTCCACGCAGCCAAGCTCTCATGCCTCAGTGCTTCGGGGCTGGTGCAGGTGCAAAATCCAAGCTGCCCGGGAGCACACCAACAGTGGCCTTATTTGCATTTAACAGCAGTAAATAATGAGTTCATTAAGCCCTTAATTCCCCAGGTCACATGCCTCTGCTGCTCTGTCCAAGCAGCTTCTGGCCAGCACAACTGCAGCATGGACCTGGACACTACAGGTTCTTTGTGGGTTAAACAACCCTTGGTTAACCTAGGAGCTCATCACAGGTATACTCCGGGCTATGTAACCCTTTGCATTCTTTTCCCCCATCATTTTCACCTGTACATATTAAGTCAGGAGTGAGTGCATTTCCAGTCCATTGAGCCTGCACACAGCCTTCTTGCTCACAGCTCAGCAGGCACATTTTTAGCCCTTGACTACTCGATTCTCGCTAGCAGTAATCTATGCAACATCTGCGGAAGCTGTTGCACTGCTTCCAGGCGGCAGCCTCCAGCCCACGCTGGGCTTCATGAAGAGTTGGCCTGAGTTATCAGGGCTCTTGCGAAACTGCTCCCTGCCAAAGGCCGGTGCTTCCAAAGATCCAGCTACCCTTCCTGTGACAGTCTTCCCCAACCTGGTGCCCTCCCATTCTGCTGGAATACAGGCCCACAGGTGCTACCATCACGCAGCCACTGGGCCGGATTTATGGTCCAAAGCATCTGTGGGCAGCATCTTTTCAGGGCTGCCGGGGACAGAAAATAAGACCTTCTGCACAAAGGGATCCATTTTTTGTTTTTTGTAACCGTTCCAGAGACTTTAGTAATGCATGGCATATAAACACTCTAAATAAACAAGCAAGCAAAATTCCCCTTTGATGCTATGCCCTTCCTCCAACATCCATTGGAACTACCCACTAGAAGGTAGTGGGAGCTGCCCCCTTCCCACTCAGCTGCCCCCGACCTGGCGCTGCCTGAGGTCACTGCCTCACCTGGCTTCACAGTGGGGGCCAGCCCTGCCTGGTTGGACCTCGGGGAGGCTGGAGGCGTCGGCCAGGGCAGGAGAACCGCCGGCACCGACCCCGGCCCCGGCCCCACGCACCCCCAGAAAGGGGCGTCTCCGGCAGGGGCTCACCTTGGGGTCTGGACGCCTCCGTGGCGTTGGGCGCAGTCATGGCGATGCACACGTCGTCCTGCGGGAACTGGTCGCACTTGAGCATCTCGGGCCAGTAGAAGCCGAAGAACTGCATGACGGGCTCACACGAGTCCCGCACGGCCTCGCAGAGCCAGCGGCAGGGGTAGATGGGCCGGTCCAGGCAGACGGGGGCGAAGAGGGAGCAGAGGAAGACCTGGGTGCCGATGTGGCAGTTCTTGTTGAGCAGCGGCACCCAGCTGCTGGCCTGCTGCTTCACCTCGGCCATGGTCTCGTGGTCCAGCAGGTTGGGCAGCACCATCTTGTCGTAGCCCACGCTGTGGCACAGGCGCAGGTCGGCCGGGATGGCCACGCACTGCGGGGGCTTGGTGTAGAAGCGCCCGCTCTGGTACGAGCTGATGTCCGACTGGAAGCTCACGTAGTCGTACTCGTTGGCCGCGGCGGGCGCTGGCGGGAGCAGGGCCAGCAGGGCCAGCGCCAGGGCCAGCGCCAGGGCCAGCGGGAGCGCCCGCGCCCCGGCGCCCATCCTCGGGGGCGGGGGGG